ACCTCTAGATTATCAGAAGATAGGAGGCAAGTGATTCCCTGCCACAAATTATTTACCCTATTCCTGAATTTCTAATTTCATTTCATTTTAAACCACAAAATAGTTAATCAGTTAGAGTGATTTAACCTTACAGTCATTGAACCATAGTGTTTCAGAACTAGCTGAGATTTTAGTGCAATCTCTTCATTTGATAAATTACAGAATAGACTCAGAAAAATGGAGAGACATTCCTAAAGTCACTTAGGATCAGAACTCGGAAAAACTAATTTTCTAACCTTCATTCTAATACTATGTCATCTTGGAAGCATCTTCTTTTACAAATTCTTATCTCCTAAGTTAATACAAATTGCTTCCCCAGATTTCTTTCAATAACCTCCTAAGATATGCTGGGGAGGGGGATTTTAATTGCCATAGAAAAGAATGAGTGATCTGAAGAGCATTTGTCTATTGTGATTTTGCCTGCTGTAATGGAGCACCATGTTGATTTTGCATACCCAAGGAAGAATGGCCCTGGAATTGGAGGGGCTGCAAATCAAGGGAGGAAGGATGCCTAAGTCAAGTGGGGCCTATTTCACAATTTTGCCTTGGGCCTGCTCAGCCTTGGGAGAGCATTTATGTTAACTTAAGACAAAAAACACACGGTCCAAACTTATACTGTTTTAGGAAACAAATTAATTCAGCTGTTTGAGAATCCTTTAAATTCAACAAAATTTAAAAATTAAATTATTTAATTCTTTGTTCATACTTAATTACAAACTGAAAAGTATTGTTTCACTTTAACTTCCTCCACTACACATTTAAATAACTCACCAGAATAAGTAATGTCAATCAATTGCAGAAAATATATTCTTAAAATGTCATGTAATCTTACTTTGTAGTAGTAACCACGGCATATTGAGATATTCCTTTGGTGTCTTCTTATGTTACACAGTATAGAAAAAAATTTATGATCTATGTAAATAAGTTTAACAGGATATTCCAAGCTTATAAATGTTTTTAGAAAATATTTTTAACATGTTATAATTTTCTATTAGATAGATGTAGTGTAATTTGTCACTCATCTTTTGTTGGACTTTATATTTCAAGTATTGTAAATTATAGCTTTTTTTACAGTTCTAAATCAAGTAATCTCAGTAGTTGTGCAGGGTTTTGTTTTTTTTTTGTTTTTTTTTTGTTGTTGTTGTTTTTGTCTGCATATTTCCTGAGATATATAAATAGTTCCTTTGCTGTATAAAATCTTTTTGTCTTTGCATTCTTCAAGGTTGTGCCTGGCCTAGGTTAGTTGGTTTAATATATATCTTCTTTCATTTCTATATCTCCATTACTGAGCCCAGTTCCAGGAATATAGCAGGCATTTAATAAAATATTGAATGTTTTTTATGATTCTGGAAAGTAATGAGCCTGGTTTTCACTTGATAGCTTTTGATTTTTTTTTTTTTCCTCATAGCGTTTTTAATCTCATCTCACATATGTGACACACAGGAGAGTGGAAAAGAGCAAAGGAGTCAAAATTTAAGCCAGAAATGTTTTTCTTTAAATTTACCTTAAATGTCACAGTAGCTCATTAGTGACAAAGAGGAGGGCACAACATTTAGCTGCAGACCAAAGAAAGATACAGATTACTGCTTTACAATCTGACTCATTGAAACTTTTTTTACTCCTTTTCCTTCCCTTCTTTTCTACTCTCCAGAGTAGAAAAGACCATCATATGAGGCGTCTTGACATCTTCCTATTCAAGTTTTTTTTTTAAGGACTTTTAGGGTAGGATAGATGATGTTAAAATGTTTATTTTTAAATGTAAAGTTTCCTTTCCTGAATAAACCCACCAAAAGGCTTTGAATTTCCCATGGAAGTCCTTTAGATCCGTTTTACAGAAAGTGTATCTGTGTGTGCGTTTATGTAAAGAAAATACATATGTAAATATCTCTATGTAAACATATATGGTATGTATATATTAAGTCTGTTTATATTTCTGTGTATATATATTGTGTAGGGTTTCCTGTTTACTTAATTTAGATAATCCTATATATCGATAATAAAGTGTAGTATGCAAGTTGTCCCCTTGACTGAGAGTTTGTCTGGGAGTTCAACCAGGGGGTGGGGTTGGCAAGGGAAAGGAGGGAGACCTTGGCCTGCAGCCACTAGGGACCCTACCAGTGCATGAAGGGCCTCTAGTTGGATATAATTGTTAAATGTATGATTGTTGAATTCTTTCTGAAATCTGAACTCTTATCAGGTTGTCTTGACTTTTTTGATAGGAAGTTGTATAATTAATTATAGGTTCTTTGGTAGTTGGATAAACCTCTCACAATTGCTCTGTACCTGGCCTCTTGGAAGCACAGAGGTAAATATTTAATGGTTGTTTTCTAGTGCATTACAGATGCTTAAAATATTAATTGTGGTCAGCTAATTGTGTGGTTATTGGTATTCTTCTACTGAGAACAGTAACTCACAGTGCAGTTCTTTGCTTTAGTGTTCTGCCATGTCCCTGATAATGTACAGGTGGATTGATTTCTAGTAAAGACATTTTAAAAAATGGGACACAACTTAGAGTCATAAAAAAGTTTAGCATTCTAGAGGCATTCCAAAAAAAGTTATTTATGTTTTATTTACATTCTTAGAACTGCAGGCATATGGGTTAGGAGACTATCCTTCATGATTTTTCACAGTAAAAGGTTTTCCCATTCTGAGTACCAAGATCAGATTAAGTTGGGTGGAAGGAGATTCTGAGAAGCCGAGTTAGAAGTGCAGGTGGCGTCAGAACAATGGCATCGCAACTGATGCTTTACTAGTGTTTCAAGTTAGGAGGTGTGGGGATAGCTTACCACTTCCTATAAAACAATATTTCTCAGCTTTGGCTTCACATTAGAGTCACCTGTGGAATTTTAAAAAATCTGCATACTAGACTAATTAAATCAGATTTTCCGGGGGTGGAACCTAGGCATCAGTATTTAAAACTTACCAGAAGGTTTAAATAAAAATTTAACACCTTCTATCTCAAAGTCCTTAAAAAAGAACACCTCAAATTATGGTCCTGATGAACTCTGGAGGAGAGCAGGAGGGAGGAGAGGAAGGTGGTGGAAAAAGAAAAGATATATTAGTTTCAGTGAATCAGCAGAAGTGAGAATCCCTGCAAAGCTCAAATAAGCTGCTGAGAGGTATATTATATAGGTACTGGCTTTAATTGGATCTCATCAATTATAATTAACCAATTGGGAATTCCTAGATGAAGCTTAAGGTTCATTCAGTAGTAGATGGTCATTGAGCCTCAATCTGTACCAGATCCTTCCCTTTCCCTTTCCCTTTCTCTTTCCCTTTCTCTTTCCTTTTCCCTTTCCCTTTCTCCTCCTCCTCCTCCTCCTCCTCCTCCTCCTCCTCCTCCTCCTCCTCCTCCTCATTTTCTTCTTCTTCTTCAAGCTTTTATTGATTTGAGAAAGAGAGTGGAAGGGAGAGGGAAAAAGTTAGAAACATCAATAAGAGAAACATTGACTGCCTCCTGCACACTCCTGGGGATCGAGCCCGCAACCCAGGCATGTGCCCAGACCAGGAATGGAACCGTGACTCCTGGTTCTTAGGTTGATGCCCAACCACTGAGTCACATCTGGCTGGGCTCTCCTCAGTATTTTTATCACTTTATTTCTGTGCTATATTCTGGTCATTTCCATAATATTTTTCATTGAACAGCTTTCTGTTTGGACCGATGTATTGGTGAATTACTTGGTAAGGTGTTTATGTCTGGTGGCCTTTTATATACATGTATATATTTATTAAATGTAAAAGGAGGACATAGCATCTCATAATAAGGACATCCAGGGTAAAATGAAGGAAACATAAAAAGTGGTGAAGGTCATCAAATGAGTCTTAATGTTCATTTCTTGATTTAAAAACTTTTATCCATGATTTTTAAAAATAAAAGGAAATTAACTGATAATTATAGTCTTGATGTTTTCTTTTTTCCCCCTGAGCACTAAAGAGAACTTAGTTGTATTAGCTGAAAATGTAAGGGCTTTTTGTTTGTTTTTTACTTTATATTATCAGCAGATAAAGAAGACAGGTCTGAAATTACAAGACCTGTATTTCAGTCTTGGTTTTGCCAGAGTTTTTGATTAGTTATTTAACCTTGCCAGTGTTTCTAAGTGTATAAAATAGCAATAATAGTATGTATTGTGCATATTTTCAGTACTGTATTGTTTTTATGAAGATAATTGAGTTGACCATAAAAATATGAAAACCATACAATTGTTCATAAAATATAGAGATGTCAAAGTAGTTTAACTCAGAGATTTAAATTATCTTGATAATGCTATTTATATGCTTATTTTCTCCAAATTAAAGAATCTACTGTGTTAGAAGTACAGTATTAAGTTTTAGAGAAAATATATGTGTGCTATTCTTTTTATAATGGTCACTAGTTCTAAGTATTTAATTTTACATGATTTGTTCAAATGAGTTAATTTGCTAAAGTATTTTTAGAAAAACATATGGCTAAAATATTAGTAATTTAAATTAGGTCACAACTATATTCACTATCTGTACTGATTAATTAATTTTGATAAGCTTTATTGTAAGAGTAACTGCCCTATATAATCTAAAGCAAATGACATTTTTGTCATTTTAAATGTGCTAGAACTTGCCCTCGCCCATGTGACTCAGTGTGGCTCAGTTGGTTGGGCCTCTTGCAATGCTTGGAAAGGTTGCTGGTTGGATTTCCCCCCAGGGCAGATGCCTGGGTTGCAGCTGGATCACCTGTAGTGGGAGTGGAGGAGACAGCCAATGGATGTGTTCTCTCACATCAATGTTTCCCTCTGTCTTTCCCTCTCTCTTCCACTCTCCCTAAAAATCAATGGAAAAATATCCTCAGGTGAGGATTAAGTCCTTTCTCCCCCTCCAAAAGTCAATAAAAGTATTAAAATTTAAAAATAAATATATTGGAACCAAACCTCACATTACTTTGATTTAAGATAACTTAAATTACGTTTAATCTTTTTCTTGTTTGTCAGGCAACCAGATAAATTGGTGGTAGTTTGGACAAGAAGAAGCCGAAGGAAGTCTTCTAAGGTTAGTCTGTTTCTACATTTCTTATTTAAATATTGTATTCAATTTTAAGTTAAATTATTAAACTTCTCTGGCCCTACCATTGAATATTTTAAAGCATTATTAGATATTTTGGGTTATTTATAAATGATTGACCTGCCATTATAATCTTGTTACTAAAGTTTTAAAATAGAAGCCAGATATCTGAGCCTTGATCTTGGACTTGGTAGGCTGGAGTAAGAAGTTATCTTAACTTTCCTGTACTAAGGTATCATGAATTAAATAGATACCACTTATAAAACGTACCTAGGAATAATTTATTCAGATTCCAAGAAGATGAGGTTGGGATATACATAAGAAATGATGAGTTACCTGAGTCTATTGATGAGTTGAAGAAGATAAGGATTTATTTTTTTTCAAAGGCTTATATTTTTTAGACTGATAGCTTTATGAAGAGTAGAATAGAATTTTAAATGTTCAGTAGAAATTGCACATATTTTTACTAAGGGTATCTTTTTAAATTTTATTTTTATTGAGCTAAAATTTACCTACAATGTAACACACAGATCTTATTTATATGATATAGTGAGTTTTGATTAATATATACTTGTGTAATTACCATTCTTTTCAAGATACAGACTATTTCCACTATTTCTATCAGTATGTTTCTGAAGTTTCTTCATGCTATTTTGTATATTTGATAGTTTTTTATTTCTGAAAAGTATTTCATTATGTAAATAATATTACAGTGTAATTATTTATACTAACCCTGTTAATGAACATTTGCTTAATTTCCAGTGAATATTGCAAATATCGATATTTCCTATCATGCTATGAATGGTGCTACTATACAAGTATTTTTGGGGACAAATATTTTCATTTCTTTTGGGTAGATACTTAGGAATAGAATCACTGGAAATAAGGTAAATACATTTTTTTTTTTTACTTTTAAATGTAATTCTATAATGTAGCATTATAGGAAATATTCAGTTGCTTTATAGTATGAATGGCATCTTCTTCAAAGCATACATTTATAGTTTTTTTGGGCATTATATTTTATATCAAATATTATTTATTAAAATATGGGTTCTGAAAATAAACTCAAGGTCTTCTTATAGGTTTTGATGATTGGGCCTTAAACTTTGGAAAAAGAACAATATAAGATCATTACTAAGTATAATTAATAGAAGAATATGACTACAATTATAAACATTAGAAATAGCCCCTAAATGTGTTTAGCTATCAGCAGAAAGTGATCCCTCATATACTCGATCTTCATTCCTGTTATTGCAAAGTGGTCTGGGGTGAATCTGTCTCCTTTTGTATTGTTATGGACATTACTCTAGCAATTCTTTCTCTTCTGTATCATTAAATTGTCCTTAAATGAATATTTCTCATCAGCATGAAAATATTTTTTTTCTTCTTAAAAAAATTCTCTCTGACAGTATTTCTCCCACTAGCAACCAAACAATTTCTCTCTTCTCCTTAAGCAAAACACCTCAGAAGAGTTGTATGTACTTGCTATCTTCAATTTCTTTCCTTCTATTCTTTCTTGAACCCAGGCATTTGCCATCATCACTCTACTGAAACTTACTCTTGTGAAGTCAATAATAGCCTCTGCTTTGTTAAAGCCAGTGGTTATTTTTCAGATCTCATCCTATTTGACATATCACTAACGTTTGGCACACGTGGTTGGTTGTTCCTTTCTCTTGGAAACGTTTTCTTCATAAGACTTTTAGGATCCCAATACACCTCTGCTTTTCCTTCTGCTTTATTGACCATCCTTTTCTGATTCCTTCTCATTTCCTTGTCCTGTAAATATTGTGCTCCAAGGTTCAGTGCTTGTGCCTTTGTATTCTTCATTTTAAAATATTTTTATTGATTTCACAGAGGAAGGGAGAGGGAGAGAGAGTTAGAAACATCAGTGATTTGAATAATTGATTGGCTGCTTCCTGCATGTCTCCTACTGGAGGATCAAGCCTGCAACCGGGGCATGTGCCCTTGACCGGAATCGAACCTGGGACCCTCCAGTCTGCAGGCCAAAGCCCTATCTACTGAGCCAAACCGGCTAGAGCTGTGTCTTTATATTCTTTATCTGTACTTCCTTGGTATCACATTCACTCTTAAGCTTTAGATATCACCGGTATGCTAATGATTCCCCAATTTATAATCCCAGAGACATACCGTGTTTCCCCAAAAATAAGACATCCTCCGAAAATAAGACCTACTTACAGATTTCTTTCTGAGTGAAATATAAGGCATCCCCCCAAAACATAAGGCCCCCCTAGGCTAAACATGAGAGATTTGGTCCACTGATTCTGAAAGAAATGGAGTCACAAGAAATTCACCAGGAAATTCAGGAATTGGATTGTTATGATGATGTTCCAGAAGATGACATGATTGTCATTGAATAAATGAGTAAATTCTTGATACTGTAGGATTCACAGTTTGTCTGGTTTGTGTTGACAACTACTGTACCATATACAGGTAATAAATTTCCTTTATTTTCACTTAACAATAAATGTGTACCGTATTCTTCTTCATGGAAAAATAAGACATCCCCTGAAAATAAGACCGAGCACATGTCTGGGAGAAAAAATTAATATAAGACACTGTCTTATTTTTGAGGAAACAAGGTATATTTAACAGTCTGTTTGAATATCTGTGCTTGAATATCTCCTAGGCACCTCAGATTTAATGTGTGTAAAACTGAGTTCTCTATTTTACTTCCTAAACCTGTTCTTCCTGCAGTCTTGTTTGGTTATTAATAGCCATTCCTTTCTTCTACTTGCTCAAAGGTAAAGACCTTAGAATTGCCATGTCTACTTTTTCTCTCATCTAATCAGATAGCAGATCTTATTGATTCTGTTTTGAAAATTAAAAATATTTTCATATTCTAACTAGCCATTTTGTACCATCTTTCTACCATTCCAAGCCAAGTCACTATCAGCCTTCCCCTGGTTTATTGCAGTAGCTTCTTACTTCTCCTTGTTTTCCTCTCATGTCTGGAGCCTATTCTTACATTAGCTGGAATGAATCTGTTAAAACATAATTTAAGTTATCGTTTTTCTGCTTAAAACCCTAGTAGCTTCCTGTCTCCCTCAAATTACAAGACAAGATCTTTGCAATGGCCTCCCAGATCCTATTATGGTTGGACCCTTATTATTTCTCTGGCCTTGTCTCCTACTCCTCCTCTTTTTGATGACTCTGCTCCAGCCCCACATTGGCCTCCTTGTGATCTAGTTGCCTCAGCACCTTTCCAGTTGTTATACCATCTCCTTGGAAAACTCTTCTCATGTATTTATATATTTGATTCTTTCACCTTAAGGCCTTCTCTTAACTGTTACCTTCTCAATGACACTTTCTCTGACTACCCTATTGAAAATTGTTACTTTCTTTTGCCCCCTCTACTCTTCTTCTATACTTCTATTTTTCTTCATAGCACTTAATTATATTTTACTTAATTATTTTGTGTGTCTCCTCCTATTATTCTGTAAACTCTACTAAGGCATATTGTGTTTTGTTTTTACCTACTCCAAGTGCCTAGACAGTGCTTGGCAGATAGTATCAACTGAGTAAATGAGTGGAATGAATGAATGAATGAAAGCTATACTTCATAGGCTTCTTAAGCAGATTAAATGAGTTAAACAGAAGTAAATTCCAAACATAGATTGACATATAGAAAGTTCTTTATAAACTGTCAGCTTTTATTATCACATTCATGGCATTTCCATGGATAGTCCTGCAGGCCATAGAGATGAAGACTTAGTTGAGATGTCTTGGGATACCTAATCTTCCATCAGCTTTGGCTGGAAATGCCACCACAAAAAAAGAACTGTAGTGGTAAATCCCAAATTTTGGGGGATTCCTTAGGGAACCTTGATAACCAAGATTTACAAGGGAAAAAAAAATCTTTAAAATTACACCCATTAGAAATATTAACTGCAAAAATTGCATTCTTTATTTTATTTATTTATTTATTTATTTATTTATTTATTTATTTATTTATTTTTTACTTGTCCCAAATAAACATTGACAGTCTAATGGGAAATAAACTTAAATGCAAAGCAGGCAATTACTTTTTCCTTTCTTTTTCATGTAAAAATATTCTTATGCTATAATATAGCAACATGTACACTCATTCAATACCTAATTTTTCTACCTTGCAACCCACCAAATTGTTAATTTGCATTTTCACTGCCTGATATATTATTAAGGAAATCCTGTAAGTTTAACCTTAAAATAAATTTAAACCAATAAAATACAACTTATTTCACTCATTAGAGTTCCAAAAATATTTCTTACAATAAACAGGGTTCAGCTGCCAAAATAATTTGAAAACCACAGAAGCCAGATAAAGTCATTCATTTTTAAAAAATGTATTTTTTATTGATTTCAGAGAGGAAAGGAGAGGGAAAGAGAGAGAGAAATTTCAGTGATGGGAGAGAATCATTTATTGTCTACCTCTTGCACTGTATTTCCCCCTTTGGATTTGGGCCTGCAACTTGGGCATGTGCCCTGACTGGGAATTGAACCTGTGACCTGGTTCATAGGTTTTCACCTTAGATTCTGTGCAAATTCTAGCCTGAGTAAGAGTTCCTGGACATGCCAAAAGCTGCTGTCCAACTCTTAGATACTTTAGATGATGACACGATTCCTGTTTACACAAGGACAGCCTGTACTGCCCTCTATCACAGTGGAAGGTTGCAAACCAGGAAGTGCCTGCGTTAAAATGATTATCTCTGAGGTAATAAATTCCCACCTCACACCTTCAGGGGAGTTTGGAGTCTTCCATTTATCCCAATGAAGAGGAGATTTAGTTGTAGCCAATGTCACTTTATGTGAGAAAAATTCAGAAGGCAACAGCTTCACACTGCTGCACCAGCTAATGCCCAAACAGCCAATGTGTTGTTACTGCCAGCACTGAAGAATAGCGACCAAGTACTGGGAGAATCTAAAGGGAGCCCCTCATACTGTGAGAGCATGGAGTGTAATTCCCACAGCAAAAATCAGAGGAAGGTCACAGGGGAGATTCTTGAGGATAATTTACAGGCAGTATATAGGAGGTTTCCAATGAGAACACGTTTCCAAAACGTCATGATGGTTCCCAATTTTGAAGCAATCTCCCCACCATTACAATTGTCACAGACTTTGGCATTGTTACAGAGATCAAGCAGCAAGGAAAGGGTCTGTGTGTTGACCAGCTATTCCTTTGTGTGTCTGAGGCTACTGGACTGGGATGGGGACAAACAGTGTCAACATTTAAAAACTTTGTCATCTTCAAGAATGGCTTCAAGTGGAGAGTAGTTTTTGGCATAGAGGGATTTTCTCATTACCTTTACCCTCACCTGAAATCACATCTTCATCTCTTAGCAGAGGTAGAAGTGAAAGATCTACAAATGCATGTACAACCAGGGTGATTGAATGCTGTGATTAGAAAACTAGCTTCATTAACTACAGCCTTGTGTGGGTTTTTGTTCAGGGATAGTTTTCCAAAATGAAAATCTGGCATCCTCCATCAGATGGTTGGAGGGCATTGATTGCCGCAGCATTGGTCTGTCATTGGGAATGGTGGAGTTTAGAGTTGGTAGGCACTCATGCAGCATTGAGTGTGTTTTCCTCTTTTCCCCCATTATTGCCACAGAGGATGCAACCCAACAAAAGTGATGCTGAGAAGATAACCTAGTGTCCTCAGCCCTCTATTTTGCATCTTTGGGAGCAGTAGTGTGAAGGTTTGTTTATAGATGTCATTGGTAGCTATCATGTGATATAACTGTCATGTCCCAAGTTTAAAGCTTGAAAAGTTTTATTTGACCAGTTATTTTTGTTTCAGGGAGACTACAGATCTAACGGATAGTTAAGTAAGGTTAATATATTTTTCTAAATTATTAACATTGCATTTCCTGTACTTCATATTGAAGCCATTATTTTATTCTGGTAGGCACATAGCTGGCAACCTGGAATAAAAAATCCATACCGTGGTGTTGTAGTATGGCCTGTTCCTGAAAACATTGAAATCACTGTGACACTTTTTAAGGTAAGTTTCATTTTTATAAATTAAAGAATTTATTATAGAATCATGGTTCTAAATGAGAGAATATTTTACTATTAGTTGTTTTATACATTTAAAACAACCTGGTTCTTTAATGTGCATTATTTTTAGGGAGATAGCAGTTTATTAACAATGCAAGAGTATCAGGGTATTTCATGGTCTATAAAGTCAGAATAATTTGCTAGTCCTTTTGAACTTCTTATAATTAAGATACTTCTTTTACTACTTCCTATGTTCTGTCCATGGAAAAATTTAAAGTGCTTTTCCGTTAAGAAAGTTGAGGTTTGTGGAAGTCTTAGTTCGGAGCCTCATTTTGTTAGCCATGTTTGGCTAATACCAAGATATGTTTTAAAATGAGCATTTGATAAATACATGGAAGCCCCCCCCCCCAAAAAAAAAAAAATATATATATATATATATATATATATATATATATATATATATATATATATATATATACTTTAACAGCTGATAGGTCAATTTTGTAAACATATTTTAATAAATACTTTTATAATTATTCCTAGAGTATGTATATAGAGAGAGGAAGGGAGAAGGATAGAGAGAAACCTCAATAGAGAGAGAGAAACATCATCCATTGGCTGCTTTCTGCATGCCCTCTGCTGGGGATCGAGCCCATAACCTGGTCATGTGCCTGACCAGGAATCGAACTGGCAGCCTCTTGCTCCCTGGGTTGATATTCAACCACTGAGCTACACCTGCTGGGCTTGATATTAATATTTTATAAATATTATAGCTTAAAAGCAAAATTCTAGTGTAAATTCAAAGTATAAATCCAAAAATATAAGTGTACATATACTTACCAGCCTATTTTATATGCATGTTTTTTTTTTAAAGTCTTCCATATTTCTGGAAATATTATAATGTATTTCTCACACATATGGTGATTAAGTACTAACATATTTAGTACTTTCCTATTCAACTCCTTATCTATTCAAAAAAAAAGAAAAAAGATAACCTCTTTGAAAATGATGAAATTAGAAAACGAATGCTTTATTTCTCCTTTTATTTTTTTAATCTCTACCCGAGGATATTTTTCCATTGATTTTTAGAGAGAGTGGAAGAGAGAGGGAAAGACAGAGAAAAACATTGATGAATGTTAATGTACTAACCCTTGAATGGAATACTACTTTTAAATGCTCTGTTTCATTTCTTCTATTTTACAAAGCATTTTTAATATTTTATGTGTATTTTATAGTTTTGATATTACTGTTATTGGCTTTAAAACATTACTTGATTATGCTTGTCATATATATATATATATATATATATATATATACACACACACACACACACACACACACACACACACACACACACACCCCATACTTGGTTTGCCTAGGGAGAAATAAGGGGTGAGACAGTAACTACTCTTGCTTTACTCCAGGAATGACGAGGACTATCCTATTGCCTTTTAGCCAGCTGTCCTAAAAGCCTGTTATTAAACCCCTGTAATCCATATTTTTTCTACTGGAATAATACAGTAAGATTAGAAGTTAACTATGATACCTTTGGAGTATTTCATTTAATTCTCATAGCAACCCTAAGGTTCTGTGATTATTCTTATTGTATTGAGATTAGAAATGAAGGTATCTTGCTCAATTACACTATGATTTAGCCCTCCTCCCCTCCGTCCCCTCCTCCTTCTCCTCCTTCTCCCAAGGATATTTTTTGCATTGATTTTTTAAAGAGAGCAGAAGGATGTAAAGAAAGGAGGGAGGGAGAGAGAAAGAGAAACGTCAATGTGAGAGATACATCGATTGGTTGCCTCTTGAATGCACCCCAATTGGGGAGTGGGGATGGAATCTACAACCCAGGTACATGCCCCTGACTAGGGGTCAAATCAGAGACCCTCCCATGTGTGAGCTGATGCTATCTATAGTCACTGAACAATGCTGACCAGGGCTAGTCCTATTCTGTATTCTACATTGTACTGCCTATTCTATAATCAAAAGACTGTGACTATAGATTACAATAACAGCAAGAACTCTTGACATTCTTGAAGAATTTTAAGTAATCTCTTGAGTGTTTTGATTCAGTTTTGTTTATATTTGTAAAGTGAATGAATGGACAGAGCTATACAACTTTTTTTTTTTTTTTTTTTTTTTAAGAGGATGATAGTGAAGAGTGGTTAGAATAGACCTGATAAATAGCTGACAGCCATGTGTTTGGGAAAAGTATATACACTGAGTGATTCTGAGTTGAAAGTGGCTGTTGAAATTTGTCACTTGGAGGATTAGGAGATAAGTGTTGTTTTTAAGTACTGATGAGAATGTTCAGCATATCCTCATCACTGAACTTTTATGACTTAGAGTGTTATAGTGTGTAGGAAAATAAAACACACACCCAAATACCTCTTTCTGCCTCATTTACTGTATCACTTTTGCTAAGGCAACCTTGTGATCATTTAAAATGTTTAAGAAATATTTCAATCAACATTATTATCTTCCTGACTCCACCATCCCACCAGAATTATAATAGAAAAAAGTAAATCAAGCAAAAAAAACCTTTTCATTTTTTCATGATAATTTTTGGATCTTGTTTTCTGAACATCATTGAAAATATTTGAGTGAAAAACTTCCATATTTTCTCCCTTTTAAACTTTACTTTAATAAAGTTTCACAATTCCCTTAATCTTGAAACTTGTAAATAGGAAAAGACTACTTTAAACCCTCTTTGTTGGAAGTATAGTATTCACAGAGGTGTGCTCATAGTCAAGGGGCATTTTAAAGAACTTATCAATGTTTCATTTTTCTATGATTCAACTAGAAATTAATTTCTTCATGTTGCATGCTTGTTTTTGAAATTTGAATTTCAAAATATCTGATGCTAGGAAATGAATAACAAGGCTTTTAGAGTTTTTGGGAAGGAAAAAAAGCTCTTTAAGCCATTTTTAATTTTTCTCTTTACTGCAGTGGTATGAGAGGAGATCGAGCAGTGATTGTCATCCCTTTTCATCTCATGGCACACATACGTTAATTACTAAAATTCTGCAGCACACCAAAAAATAGATTTTTGCAGCTCTGGAAAAGAAAAGTATAATTTCAATTCATTCATACCGTGTAGCTATTGTTGTGTTGGCTGTTGTCATATTTTTATTTGACAACAACCTAAGGAAAAGAGGTCAGTCAATACCCCTAACTAAATAGTCAGGTATCATGATTTAAAAGTTCTTGTGGCACACCAGTTGAAAAACCACTGCTCTGTGTAGATGCTAAAGGCCACCACACAAAATCCATGCAAGAGTAGGCCTTCCTTCACCTGGGTGCCGGCACTGGCTTCCCTCTGGCATCTAGGACCTGGGCTTCGCTTCGGCCACTCGCAGGCACCTGAGACCCAGGCTTCCTTTCAGCCCTGGCTTTGTCCAGAAGGCTATCTGGTCAAATTAGCATATTACCCTTTTATTATTATACACTAGTGGCCTGGTGCATGAAATGCGTGCATTCGGGGTGGGGGGTCTCCCACCTGGCCTATGCTCTGTCACCATGCGGGAGCCCCATGATCCGTTGCCCCAAAGAGGTAGGCCCTGCCCACCCATCCGGGGCTTGATATTTTGCCTCAAAGAGGTAGGCCGGAGCCGTGAGTCCCGGCTCTGTGCCGCTTGGAGCGATGGGACCCCCCCTCCCCCCCAGGCCTCTGCACAGCAAGGCCTCCAGACTGGGCTGTGCGGAGGCCACCAGACCCCTAGTGCAGGCATGTGGAGGCCTCCACTGCGCCCCGCCCCCAGGCTGGGCTGCATAGAGGTTCCCCAGATCCTCATTATAGGTGTGCAGAGGCCTCTGCCGAGCCCTGCTCCTGAGCTGGGCTGTACGGTGTCCTGCGGACCTGGCGGAGGCCTCTGCCAGGCCCCAGGCCTCCTGATGATGGATTGTGACTGTGTGACACAATTTCCCGATACTGCAAGTCCCTGCCTACCCATGCCTGCTGCATAGCAGTCTGCTGGTTGGTCGTTATGTGTGAGGCCATCTTGACCATTTGCATATTACCCTTTTATTAGTATAGATGCCATTTTGAAGTGACTTGAAAATGAACATTACTCTTGCTATTTTACATGTCTTTGCTCACTTTGCCATGTCAGAGGTGTCCCTTGAAATTATTCTTTTAGGGGTAGTACATCATTGGTGTTTAAAAATAATATTCCAGTCATCGCCAGTGTGGCTCGGTTGAATGTTATCTCATGCAGGAATACAAAACTGAGATCTAAAGATGTAGGGTCCCAAGTGAATAACTAATAGCATTAAAACCATGTACTAGCTATGATGCAGCTAGGCTGCATTTCTCAACAAAATGAGGGGGGAGGGCAAGCAGGGTGGATGGTAAAATGTCTCTTTCCTGAGCATTGTGTCTTGCTTTATTACTTAAGTTTCTAGAGTAGCACTGATGGTGCCTTAAATTCCCCATGGAAAAGCTTTTTAAAGTTTTATTATAGTACTAGAGGCTCGATGCACAAAGATTCATGCAAGAACAGGCCTTCCTTCCCGTGGCTGCTGGCACCAACTTAGCTCTGGCTGGAGCCGCCTTTCTGCCTTCCCACACTGCCCAGAGGCCTGGAGTGGTTAGGCTGGGCTGGAACACCCTGCCCCCAGCCGCTTGGCCCTGTGTATGCAAATTAACCTGTCATCATTATTGGGTTAATTTGCATACTCACTCCTGATTGGGTGTGGGTGTCACAAAGGTATGGTCAATTTGCATCTTACTCTTTTATTAATGTAGATTCTCTATCCATAAACCTAGTTCATGGGCAAGGCCAGTTTGGGCAAACAAATATCAAATAGAGTTCTCTACCTTTCTTTTCCTTTTAGCCTTTTCTACCTCTTCCTGCCCATTACCACCAAAGAAACTCCTTTTTGAAAGGTTTTTATCCTATTTCCGTGAATTTACTAATAGAAATAGTTGCCTTAATACAGCTTAGAGTCAGTCGCTACTGTGCTATTGCAGCGGGGGGAAAAAAAGTAAACACAAATAAAGAAGTAAAGCTAAGAAGTTTTGAATTTATCCCTCAGTATATAGAAGTCATTAAAGAAATTTGAGTTGGTACTAATATGGTTAGAATTGTGCTTTGGGAGAATGTGTACAAGATTGATTGGAGGACAGATAGACTGAGAATGCTGCAGTTGCTTCTGTTCAGCCACCATGATAAGGACTCAAATTAGGCTGTGACAATAGAAACAGAAGATTAATAATAGTCTAAAATGGAATCAGACATGAAAAAAGATGCTTCTTCAGGAGCAGCATGTGGGACCTGAGACCCAGAAGGGGAATAGCAGAGCTCATTCTCTATCTGTGTGCACTCCCTTTCTCTTAGGTTGGAATGTAGAGCCAAAGGCCTACTCTATTTGAATATTGTCTCACTCTCAATATTTTCATCCCTCCCCCTTCTCTAACAAATGGAAGTGAACTTGAATAACTTAATTATACTTATGATGCGACCCCACTACTTTTTTTTTTTTTATGTCTTATACTCTGTTGCCTTTCGCTTTTACTTATTCTAATATCTATAGAAGTCTTAAACCATCCCTTCTGGCTCACATGCTTTCTCTTCATAAAAGTTTTCATGTCCATTTTTGTAAAAAGTGATGTGTTGTTTTCCAGTTTGGTGAAACCATGTATTTCATTCAGTACATATTTATTTTTATTAGTTTGTTGTTGTTTTTTTCCTTAGAAAGCAAAGACAACTATGTTTGAATCCTTCTAACACCTCTACACTCTCTTATCCCATCTAATAAAAGAACAATATGCAAATTAACCATCACTCAGCTACACCCACCAGTCACATCCACCAGCCAATCAGGAGCGAGTATGTAAATTAACCCAAACAAAATGGCTGTGGCCACAGAGAGCAAGAGGGAGGCTTGAGTTTCCCCAGCAATGGAGGAAGCCAAGCTTTCCACACACCCTGGCAGGCCCAGGCCTCCACTCAAGGGTACAAAGTTTCAATTATAGAAGGTAAATCCCAACAGAAATGACGGCAGCTATAGAGCTGAAAGAGCAAGAGACTAGGATTGCCCCGGCAATGGAGGAAGCCAAGTTTCTACAGCCTTGGCTGGCTCAGGCCTTCACTCTAGGCTACAAAGTTTCAGTTATAGAAGATACATAAATCCCAACAGAAATGACTGCCAACACAGAGCGAGCAGGAGGCTTGGCTCCGCTCCAGCTACAACATTTCAATTGTAGAAGATAAATAAATTCAGATACCAGGGCCTCCGCTTGGGTTGCCGAGGGGTGTGGCTGGCCTGCAAACCACCATAGGCCCCTAACTCAGGTCGCTCCATGCCCCAAGGGAACCCCTACCCTGATCTGGGACACCCTTCAGTGCAAATCACCTGGCCCCCTCTCATGCACCAGGCCTCTATCCTATCTTAATAAAAGAGTAATATGCAGATTGACCATCTCTCCAACACACAGGATGGCTGTCCCCATGTGGTCAAAGATCCTGCCCCCATGTGGACACAAGATGGCCAGCAGGGGAGAGCAGTTGGGAGAGACCAGGCCTGCAAGGGAGGGCAGTTGTGGCAATCAGGCAAGCAGGAGAGGGCAGTTGGGAGGCACCAGGCCTGCAAGGGAGAGCAGTTGGGGGAGGCACCAGACCTGCAAGGGAGGGAAGTTGGGGGCAGTTAGGGGTGACCAGGCCAGAGAGGAGGGAAGTTGGGGGCAAACAGGCTGGAAGGGGAGCAGTTAGACATCAATCAGGCTGGCAGGCAGAAGTGGTTAGGGGCAATTAGGAAGGCAGGCAGGTGAGCAGTTGGGTGCCAGCAGTCCTGGATTGTGAGAGGGATCCCAGATTGGAGAGGGTGCAGGCTGGGCTGAGGGACAACCCCCTCCCATGCACGAATTTCGTGCATCAGGCCTCTAGTATATAATAAGTATTTAATAAATATTTATTAAATAAATACTTGCAAAAATGTGCCTCGTTTTTTTAAAGTTGTATTTGGTTGTAGAATCGATTATTCTTTCTCAAGTTTCTGAGGCATTTCCAGGAGTAATGAGTGAAGTGGGGATCAGGATATCAATAGCCACACCAGTTTGCCATTTATGTAGAGTATGAAGTCCTTTGCAGTACTTTGAAATACCGGATGTTTACATAACCTCTGCTCAGAAGAAAGCCTTGCCTCAAGTGATACTTTTAATTTAAAATATTTACATGTATAAAAATGAGGGTAGGGCTTTATAGAAGCATGTAATGTCTAAAGTGCTTCTTAATAGTTTACTCGATAAGTTATCTGTCTCTGATCGGGTTTCTTTTTATCTTGTCATCTATGCAATGCTGGAAGATGATATGCACCAATATAAGTGAAGTAGAGTATTCCTCAATATAAAATAATGCTTTAAGTTTAGAGAAATAGAGTAAGCTGTTCTGCCTAAACAGTCGGTAAAGCTGAAAACAAGGCAGCCTGCATTTTATTGCTTGATTGGTTACATTAAAGAAATATGTATCAGCCCTGGACGGGGGTGGCTCAGTTGTAGCAATTTTCCATGCACCAGAAGGTCATGGGTTCAATTCCTGATCGAAGCATATATGGAGGCAACTGATTGATGTCTTTCTCTTACATCAGTGTTTTTCTCTCTTTCTTCCTTCTTTCCTTTCTAAAAATTAATAAAATAAAAAAGAAATGTATATCAACTTCATAATTTTGCTTTTATTACAGGATCCTCATGCAGAGGAGTTTGAAGATAAAGAGTGGACATTTGTCATCGAAAATGTAAGCTAATGGCACAGTCTGTCTTTCACATTTTTGCTATAGTATATACATTACTAAAATACACTAGTATTTTGGTAATAGGAGTAATGTTGCCTTATAAAATTAAGTAGCAATTTAAAAGTAAAAATGCTCTTCAGTACTGAATTATATATGTATTTTGGGGGCTTGAGGGAAAGACTATATGTCTTACTCAACTTTTTATCTGTTCAGTATCTAGCATGGTGCTTCTTACATAGCAAATTTTCATTTAAACATTTGTTGAATGAAATCAAGAGTGACCTTTGAAATCTTTTTAAAATAAAGCACATGCTTTACTTTTTGTTTGGGTTGAGGGATTATAGGTTGGTGCTTTAATAATCTTCAATTTACATATTGTGGAATTTAGGTGACTGGCAGGTGGGTATGGTAGGTGTTCAGTAATGTATTTGAATAGGGATTAGGGAATGGAAATATAGTAAATTGAAAAGAGTGTGAGTTCTGGAGTCAGATATTTCAAGCTTTAGCTCTTTCATTTATAAGCTCTGTGATCTTGGTTAGTTTCTTAACTTCTTAGCCATGATGGTTGTTGTGAGGATTAAATATTTAATTTTAATGAATATTAGTTTTTATAATTATTGTCATTGTTGTCATGACCAGCATTAAAGTTCTATAATATATTTATAACATATTTTAACATACTTTGCAGCATATATTTCCTTCCCAAGTCAGCATATTATATGATGTTGTTTTATATCTCAGTGATAAAAGTATTATTACACTTTTTCCAGCACTAACTTGACCATTTTTAGTCTGAAAGAGCTGGGGAGCTTGGGAGGGAGGTCAGGTCCAAGCATAGCAGGTGGAGTTCTGATGGCTGGATATCAAGCCATTATCATGTTGAAGGCTCACACATGTTAACACTTCTTGCTTTTCTGTAATGGTAGATATGAACATTATACTTTGAATAGCATCTGAAGTTTTAAAAACAGACTTAGATTTCTTGAAATTAGTTACAGCTTCAAAAGCTAGCTTTCATTCTCAAATCAGGAGCTTCTCCCCAATGTATGTTTTTTCAACCAGTGCTCATGGTTATGTTATACATCAAATCTAAAGTTTGTTTGTTAATTAAATGTATTAAATAATTAAATTTGAGTTGTAATTAATGGTAAAGTGTGTAAAAAATGATAACTTTATATTTGTTTAAAAAGGTGTTTTTACAACACAATTACTCTTAGGATAAGGAAGCACATTAGTTCTAAGTTTCTGAAGAATAGGTTATGAACTAACCTACTGGAAGGTGGAAGTAAAAAAAAAAGCTATATGATATTCTGTGTTATATATTTTATAAAGGTGTTTTAAATGTCAATAGAGAAATATTAAAATTCAAATTGAAAGAGATATAAAATGGATCATGAGATAACAGGGTATATTTTGAATTATTCTTTTCCTTTGGAAGTATGTGTTTCTCAAGTCAGGAAGTGTATTTGGTATTCTTTTAATGATATTAAAGATCATTTTGTTCATTTGTAAATATCTTACTCAAATAGTTGAAGTTACTAGAAAAGTTACGAGGGAATGATCTTTGGGGAAAACGGAAAATAAAATATATTAGCATTCCTTCTGTACAAATGTTTATTAATGAATTAGACTTATAAAAATCTAAGAAACATAATATAGATGACTTTGAACTATTATTCATATTTTTTATAAAACTTAGAAAACAAACATTTTTTTGAACTATTACAAGAGCTAAATTTTACTATGCCATCCAGTGATTCTAAAGACCTTAACTCTGAGTTATGTAGTGGGTAAAACATTGGACTTGTGGAGATTCTCAGCCATTATTATGCTTTTTGATAGCATAATGTCTCTTAACACTCTGCCTCATATTCTTATATGAAAAGAAAACATTTTTCTTTCTCCCATATCAGAGTATAGAGAAAACATGAACTTTTGGTTGGGTTAGAATTGAGTATAAATCCTGATTTTGTATTTTCAAAACTGGTGACCTTCAGTAGGTTATATTTTAAACTCAGTTTCTTCATCTAAAAATAAAGTTTTTTTGTATACTGATCTCAGAGAGCTTTTCCTAGGTTTGTGACTTTGTTTTAGTTAATAGAAGTATTTTTATAAACTTTTTGAAAATTACCTTTATGTAAGTAAAATTTTTGGTTTTCTAGTTCATGAAGAATGAAATATAAAGAATTTTCTAATATACTATTTTGGAATAAATTAATATGTTCCTAATTTATATCTTTCTTTAAAAATTCATATCTCTATATGTATTTTCTGTATGCTTCTAAATCTGGAATGGAATATAAGTATTGTTGTGAGTTTCTTATTCTGAACTTTTTTAGCACAACAGTATTTTCCCTCCCATTTCTTCTTTTTATAATAGCTACTTTCTATTGCCAGATTTAAAAAAAAAGGAAATTAAATTGTGTGGGTGAAAAAGGTGAAGGGGAATAAGAGGTACACTCTTCCAGTTATAAAATAAGTCAGCTTAGGAAATAGAGTCAATAATATCTTAATAATCTTTGTGCGATGACAGGTGGCTACAAGATTTATATTAGTCATCACTTTGAAAGGTATGTAAATGTTGTATATAATATTGTTTGTCAACTGTAGTTTAATTTATTAAAAAATGGAAAATTGAATTATGGTATAAACTTGCTTTTCATGTTGAGAAAGGTATTAGTCATTGTAGCAGAAATCTAGTTTCTCGGCTCTGGGTATGAAAAAAGTATACCTATCTTTGAATAGGTAGCAAAACTTAGGGAAATCTAGGTATTGAAGATCTAATTTGAAGAAAATTAAAATTAATCACAATGTGGGAGGGAGGCAGTTTTTCAGCCATCAGTAATGATGGCAATAATTAATAATGCTTGCTAGGAACCCAAATTCAATAAAAAACATTTATTAGATAAATTTTTTATGATTTTATTACTGGCTTATAGCTGTTTTTATAGCAAGTGTTTTTTATAGACAGTATGGGATTTGACCTTTTTTACTAGCACCATGTTTATTTTTTTAAAAAAGAATTAAAGAGAGAAAGGTAAATAGTAAATACATCCATTATCATATTTACTTATATTGTATATAGTTACCAGTCTTTGGATGTATTATGAAATTGCTGTGTTCTTAATACAATGGAAAAAGCATGAATGTACGTTATAACCAAATCATTTAAAATATATTAACTTAAAAAAGAATATAATAATTTACATACTTTAAATTAGAATAACTATCACAATTTGTGATCTATCTAATCTCAAAGGATGAGGTCGTATAATTACTGGTAAACCTAAAACAAAACAAAAGGAAAAAATAGTGTATTCTTATCTAGAAAATAGACCAGGATTGGGCAGGAACTTATTTTCTTTCTGCCTGGACCAACTCCTATATAGTGAGAGGAATAAATGAATTTTGAGAGTAGTTTTTTCTTTCCTATCTGGGTATTAAATCTTTCTATGTGCTCTGAAAAATCTAGGTCAAATATCTGAGATGTTAAACAGAATCCAGCTTGGATAAGTAAATTTAACAGGGGAAAAGTTCTGTCCTATATATGTCTATATATACCACAAAAAGAAATTTATTTTTACATAATGCCTTTTGTGTAATAGGTACTCAGTAGATATTTGTTGAGAGAGTGAATGATTATAGTTAACTGTTAGAAATCCTATAAAGATTATTATTTTTAAGGGAGGAATTAGAGCTCTTTCTGCAAGCATCCTGAGGTGACCTCTGAAAATGGTTTGCTATTCTCTTGACCCAGAAAACCCCATAAAATCATGCAAATCAATAGTTCAAATATTTGTTTTCGCTTTAAAAACACTCATGAAACTGCCCAGGTTATCAAAGATATGCATATCTGAGCAGCCCCCCATTATCTGAAGGATGTCACTTTACAAAAGCAGTGTGTGCCATTCTGTTATTAGAGTAGTGGAGTTGGTAGATGTGCCTAGGCCAAACGGTGAGGCTGGAGTTGCAGGGTCAGTGGCCCAAAAAGAGTGCTGAATTTTTGCTGCCCGTGGTTAAAAACGTGAAGGGTAATGCTGAATTTATGGGTTTAGTTTAGGTTATTTGGACATTGATCACACCTTTGTGAACAATGGTCTGAAGATGTCATGTAGAATTTACAGAGCTCATCAGTGGATTAATCCACATGTGAGCTCTCCTGGCCATATTGAGATGATCTTGCTGAAAAAGAGCAGCTTTTTCCTAAACCGGAAAAGAGATTGTACAGAAGAAAAAAGAAATCCTTAAAGAACCAAAAAACGTGCAGGTACGAGTAAATACTACATCAAATAAATGCTAATAAAAGAGAGAAAGGGTGAGAGATTACCTAAAAATCCATCAACTGTATAGAAGTTCTTCTGATCAACCTCTACTTAATTTACATAGATTATCTCATACTTCCCAGCTGACAATAAAACATCCTGGTTTCAATCCCACATGTGTCAACATGGTTAATAGGCTACTACTTCATTTAAAACATTCAGATCATTTAAGATGGATTCTACTATAAATGTATATTAAACAAGTCATTCTCATGAGATCTGTCTGTGTACTCATCTATAGGATTAATTAATGGCTCTTAGATATTTTCTTTTAAACCAAAATTCAGTGTATGTAGACATTGCATTTTTCAGGTAGTAGCTGTTTGCTTTACAGTAATCCCACTTTCTTACAGGGATATATTCTAAGACCCCCCCAGTGGATGCCTGAAACTACAGATAGTATGGAACCCTGTACATACATACCCAAGATAAAGTTTAACTTATAAATTAGGCAATTTCATGGATAGAAGATGCATGTTTTTCAATCTTAGCATACATTTTTAATGTGGTGGGTTTTTTTGCCTTTTTTTTTTTTTTTTTTTGCTTTTTAAGAGTTAAGAACTTTCACCTTTTCAGTTAAAGGGAGCACTTATAGCTTCTCTTTGTTATATCTTCCAGTATTACTAGTTTTACACTTTGGGGCCATTATTAATAAGCAAAAGGGTTACTTGAACGCAATGC